TTTTTTTTTAGGAAAATAGGAGTAGCAGGACAGCCTGGAGAACGGGAAAGAAGACGTGGGAGGGGGTGCGGGGGAGCGAGAGATTATCTGGAAGAAGAGAGCGAGCGTGTTGGAGAGGGAGAGAGAGCTGGAGAGGCAGAAGCTGGAGGAGGAGAGGAGGAACACTGTGGGATACACGGTGTGGAGGCTGAGGGAGGGATTCCAGGAGAGGAAGGATAGAGAGGAGGATAGACTTGAAGGGAAGAGCGCAGAGGGCGCGAAAGCAGCGCAGCCGGAGGTGATCTGGAAAAGACGCGAGGAAGAGGAGGAGAAAGATAGGGATAGAGCTCGGCTTGGCGACAGAGGTCCCACAATCATCTGGAGGAAGAGGGAAAGGGAGTGACAGGAAAAGATGGGGATGTGTCAGCTCTAAGCTGTTTCAGATGTGTGACAGGACGTGAGGTGGCAGATTTAGACTTATGGTACAAATAAACTTGCATGTACTCAAGGTGCTAGATAGTGTATATTAGGTCCCCTTTTTATATATTGTATGAAATTAAATGTTGAATTTAAGTCTGGCCTATAGGAAAATCTGTATAGTATCATATTAATATATTTATATATATGATGCTTAAAACCCATTAAAATAATCATTATTATATACAGAATCAAAAACTCGTATGTTACATTTCAGTTTTATTTATTAATAATGTTGAAGGAAAAATGAAACATTTAGCTGCACTTTAGCTTCTGAACTTCAGATTTAGCTTAATATTGTATGCAAAATTTCATTTTTTCCCCCCACAATAATAGGATAATTTCAAATCAATTGATAATTTACAGACCTTCTAGAGGTCAGTGTACCCCTTGTTGTTAGATCCCTGGTGTACATTTTTTTAACACCTGGACTAAATTAAGTCTTTAAACCAAACGATGAGGATTATGTTGATCGGCGCCAGTCTAATCATCACTGAGCGCAGCAGTTTGAATCATCATTAAATGATCCACATTCACTGGATCAGTACTTTTAGCATTTTCCATCCATCTCTTCCCGTTCTCTTCCTCTCTCACTCTATCGATTCGTCTGTCTGACAGAAGCCTCCTCTCTCAAAGTCTCAGCTGCAGCTAATAGGCTTTTTATGGGAGTCTGTCAGACAAGAGTTAGTAGAGTGGAGTCCAGCACATGCAAAGAGAAATGAACACGCACGTAAACACACTCGCATGCATATAAAACACAATAGCACTCTCTTTCACACATCTACCGAGACTGATTGTGTCTGGAGCACTTATGTATGACTATACCAATAACTTCATGACAATCATACTATATTTAGTAATTCATAGTGTCCTGAGAAGCTCTATGCAGACTTAAGATCTGATGCAAAACCTACACGCTGTGTATGACAACAGCAGAAAACTTTATTACTTTTCTGCATCTGTCTTTTCGTCTCTTTTCGCATCCTGTTTTCGATACTTTCCGGACTGAACGGTCAGCACACTTTCATCTCTCTGGTGCGATGATGAAGGAATCGGTAGATGCAGAGAAAAAGAGGACTTTAAAAGACAAGGGAAGACAAGTTATCGATTGCGATAGAGCGACGTGGAGAGACAATTAAGGACGTTTAGTGGACACTGAGACGGCTGAGACATCATGGAGCTCGTCCCCAAAACCAAATACACGCCCTTCAGGAGCGACTCCTTCAGCTCAACAGACGAGACGGCGTCCAATCCCTCTCTCCCTTCTTCTGCTCCTCTCACCCCTCTCACCCCTCCTGGCGTCCCTCCTTCTCTCTCCTCCTCGTCCCTCACTCCCATCCTCCCCCCTTCGTCTCCACGGCAGGCTGAAAACAGCCCCACCACCCTCTGCTCCTTTTTCCCTAGGATGGGAGCCCTGCGGCTGGGTGTGTCTTCCACTCTGCTCCCAGGCCTGAAGGCCTCCAGCAGGCCGGCTAGCGTGCCGGGTGGTCAGGGAGGTTTGGGAGAGTCTCCGGAAGACACTCGGACCTCCACCGCCAACTCTTCTCCTCCTCCTCCTCTTCCTCTCCTTTCTCTAACAGCCCCATCTCCTCCTCCTCGTCCCCCACAGGATATGAACCGGCTGGGTGGGGCCTCGCGGAGGGCCCGTGTGGAAGGGAGCCAGCTCGGCGGAGATGAGTGGACGCGGCACGGATCCTTCGTCAACAAGCCCACCCGAGGCTGGCTGCACTCGGACAATGTGGTCAGCACATCTGGGGTCTCCTACACTGTCAGGGTAAGATGCACGTATGGGTCTGTCCATCCAGTTTTCTGTCCTCTTACCACCCCTGGTTTCTTTTCTGGTTGTTTTTCCCTTTTTTACCTTTGCATTGATTTAATTAGTGATGTGCATAGTCAAACACACTCCTAACCTATTAAGCTTTGTTGCATAATTTGTCTTACACCGTTTGGACTGCGGCCAACTTGTTGAAGAGAGTAGTGGACGATAAAAAAGACAAAGAAATCTCATAGACTTACATTGAACCAGGAACTTAAGTCATATCTGGAGTCTAGATTACCATAGAGACTTGGACCACCCAACCATCTAGAACTCCATAGTAAACAACCAAACAATGCCCTAGAACAGTGCTTCTGGTGCCCCCTCAACAGTGCTGTATGTTTCGATAGTTAAACACATCTTATTCAGGTCATCAGCCTATTCGTGGAGACTCCAAGACCAGGGCTGTATCTGAAATTGCCCCCACACCCTCATTGCCTATTTACCTACATTACTCCACTAATATAGTCCACTAAATGAGTGAATGAAAACGAGTGTGTGAATTCGGACACTGGGTGCACTGGAAGATCTGCAGACGACATTTTCTGCAAGATATGCATGAGTGTTCTCTAGCGGCTAGACATTGAGCGTACATCAGTTGAATACCCTTGCATTGTGGGAATGAATCAGTGCCCTTGATAATTTCCACTATGGTTTCAGACACCACTACACATGGCTTGTCCACTTAAGAAGTGCACTATATAAGGGAATAGAGGGTGATTTCAGACACAGCCCATAACAACAGTAATAAAAATGTTTTTAGTCACATTTTTACACTACTAATACTACTACTAAAAATAATGTATTAAAACAGCTGTACATGAAAAGTGGGCTGAAATGTATTTATTTTTAGTTTGTTTGTTTGTTTGTTTTTATTTACTTGTTTTTTGTTCATTTAAAGACCCAGCCATATACTATTTCTGTTGGGAGCAGAGTTTGGGCAAAACATTCATTTGAAGACGATAAGCATTACTTGTTAATTTCTGAAAATTTCCGTGGGTATTATAATGATGATGTTGTTGTTGATGATGATGATGGTTATTATTATTATTATTATGTTATTATTATACCTTCATGTCTAAGCGGCGATAGGATTTTTTAAATATATATAATTCAGCCCTAATGTTGATATAATTGTTGGTTAACAGTTTGGAGTTCTGCTGCTTTTCAGTTTTCTCAGTGAGTCCATTTTATCTGCTTAATGGATTGCTTTCTTTAATGTGTGGCATTTTCAGATGTATCCAAGCCTACGGGCAGGAGCTACATTGAGAACTGCTTTATTTGATTAGTGCTTCATAATTAGAGCATCAGTTCTCATAAAACACGTACACATACACAGACACACTTAACCACATGCACTACAGCTGCCTGGCCAACTCAATAATCTTGACACAAGGCAACTGTGCAACACTTAACCATATTCTGTTCTCTAAATTGTGGTTGGAAGGCTAGCACGAGAAGTGCTATGACTGAAGGTTTGTCGTCTTTGTCTTTGCTGCAGTATATGGGCTGCGTGGAGGTGCTGCAGTCAATGAGAGCACTGGACTTCAACACCAGAACTCGGGTTACCAGGTAACACACGCACACACACATTCACTCCTGCTTGTTATTGGCGCAAATACCAATAATTTGACGAGCTCAAATTTTAGTAAATTGCGTTGCGTGATTCATTTTAATACTCTCCTCCCATAAATTTTGCGTCTGAAAGGGAAACTCCTACAAATGCATATTCAATAAGGTCAGGCGCAAAATAACTGTTCACGCCTTTTCGGTGCTAATTCTTCACTGCGCGTCTTTAGTAAATACTGACAGTACTATTTTAACGCCAAAAGACGGTTTGTGCTGGCGCAGGCTGTTAATAAATCTGGCCCTTGGTGTTTTTGTTTGCATGTCTGCCTGATGCATGTGTGAGATGGCAGGAAGTGTAATGGCTGGAGCATGTGTCTAATGTAATAGTCCCTCAGCCATATGAAATTTGGGAATGCATGAAAAGGAGTGTGATGGAAACTCTCATCTAACAATCTGATTATGTTCTTCTCACAGTCCCAGCATGTGTGTACATTTATAACCGTTTGTTTTGTATTTCAGAGAGGCAATATCAGTGGTGTGTGAGGCAGTACCAGGTGCCAAAGGAGCTCAGCGAAGGAGAAAGGTATTCAACGCTTTATCTTATCTTAGGCTACGTTGACACGACAACGGTGTAGTCAACCTTTGTCTTTGCTGCAGTATATGGGCTGCGTGGAGGTGCTGCAGTCAATGAGAGCACTGGACTTCAACACCAGAACTCGGGTTACCAGGTAACACACGCACACACACATTCACTCCTGCTTGTACTTCCTCTCATATTCGCTCAAATATCCAGTGTATGTATATCCACAGTGTCCCACAGGAGTGATTTAATCGTTCATTCTCTCCACATCCTAATGCACATGTGCATGAACATATACACTCTCTCGCACGGGTCCGGTTAAAAGCTCCTCCTCTGATGAAAAATTCATGTTGCTCTCTCACAGAGTGTGACAGAAAGAGAACGCAGGAGAAAAATACTAAAATAATGAACATACACAACCATCTTCTCATTCTCACAGCCATTCGGTTTCTTGTGTTCTCACACTTCTGGGATTTAGTACTGCAGAACACTTGCCATATTAAACCACATCATTTGCAAAATGCACCTACACTGAAATGCAATGCTTTTGCATGTAAGAAAGAGAACGGGGAAGAAGGGAGACGTTATAATGGCATCAGCCCTGCTGTGTAACCATAAAGTCTTATAATAGAATCCTCTGGTTTCCTCCCTTTTCCGTGTCTTCGTGTGTGCGTTTGTTAATGGATGCTACACACATTTGCTTCTCAATATTGACAGTAGCAGCTGCTCGATAAACTTGTTTTCATGCAGTGAACACTGTTTTTCTGGAGGGTAAAATACAGTCAAGAAAAAACATTAGGAGGGTGTGCGTGAGTTATTATAGTTATAGTATATAACAAAAATTAAATAGGGATGCCCTGATATTACATATTTGTGGTTGACCCAAAACCCTAACTAATTATTTTCATGTTATGGTCGATAACTTAAAAAAAAAAGAAGCAGCAATTTAATAATTTTTACTATTCTTTTTTTTTTATAAATTAAAATTAAAACACTAAAAAGCATTAATTTTATATGCTGCCACTTAGTCATCACAAGGCTGCAATTTAATTAAATAAATAAATGTCCAGCATGTTTCAGAGTGAAGCTTTTCAGATTTGTTCCCCAAATTGTGCAGCCCTACATATAATATAGCCTTCTTATAATGTGCAGATAAAAAATTTATATTAATTTTGTTATTTATTAGTGTTGAATGTTTAAAGACAGCCTTATGACTTGTTCTGCCTATGACAACACGTAAAAAAAGTGCATTATACAAACCGTGACTGTAAATAAATCAGACCATTCAATCAATCAGATTTAGAATCAATTACACCACTGATTGAAATAATTATCTGTAATTTTGTAGCATTTTTGTTTATATTTTAGTGAATATTTATAATTGCAAAATAAAATAAATACATTTATAATTGCAAATTAATTGCAAAATAAATAATAAATCTATTTTTCACTCTTGTACATTTCTGTTTTTAATAGTTTTTGTCTTCATAATCGTTTTTGTTAAAAGTAGTCATGGGGCCAGATTTACTAAACAGGGCAAATTAGCGTTAGAGCATAATTCCAAAAAAGCACTAATGGGAGTGGAAATTTCTGTGGGTGATTTACTTGCAATGCGCAAATTAAAGAACACAGATGCAGCAAGATCATTTCCATAATGACCAACACAATCTACCAAGAGCAGCTCAAATTAGCGTCAAATATTGGCGCAAATACCAATAATTTGACGAGCTCAAATTTTAGTAAATTGCGTTGCGTGATTCATTTTAATACTCTCCTCCCATAAATTTTGCGTCTGAAAGGGAAACTCCTACAAATGCATATTCAATAAGGTCAGGCGCAAAATAACTGTTCACGCCTTTTCGGTGCTAATTCTTCACTGCGCGTCTTTAGTAAATACTGACAGTACTATTTTAACGCCAAAAGACGGTTTGTGCTGGCGCAGGCTGTTAATAAATCTGGCCCTTGGTGTTTTTGTTTGCATGTCTGCCTGATGCATGTGTGAGATGGCAGGAAGTGTAATGGCTGGAGCATGTGTCTAATGTAATAGTCCCTCAGCCATATGAAATTTGGGAATGCATGAAAAGGAGTGTGATGGAAACTCTCATCTAACAATCTGATTATGTTCTTCTCACAGTCCCAGCATGTGTGTACATTTATAACCGTTTGTTTTGTATTTCAGAGAGGCAATATCAGTGGTGTGTGAGGCAGTACCAGGTGCCAAAGGAGCTCAGCGAAGGAGAAAGGTATTCAACGCTTTATCTTATCTTAGGCTACGTTGACACGACAACGGTGTAGTCAACAACGGAAAAGTTTTTCCCTTGCGTTTTTAAAAAGTTTCACGTATACACAACAACGTTTTCAAAACGATTCGTGTTTACACATATCCGCGAAAACAGCCAAAAACGCTGTATTACGTATACAAGGCCAGCAGTTATCACTGTCACCTTGTTAGTAAACAGTACCTG